CTCCCCGGCAGGGAAAAAGAGGGAGGACGACGCGGAGTCTCGACGACTTCCAGCAGAGCCCCAGCGGAGCCGGGAGCCCTTCCCAGCTGGCTGCAGCTGATGCGGGTAAGAGCAGCGTCTGCGCCCCAAGGTCTGGGCCGGTGCGGGCTGCGGGGGGCAGCGGTATCGCTCGTAGCTCTGGGAGGGCACACACAGCGTGCCTAGCGCTGGGCTGCTTTGGTTGGAGAGTTTGCTGCGCACCAAACTCATCGCCTGCCTACGTCTGCCTTGGCTTCATAGGTAAGCTCAAGTTAAGGTCAAGCTTAGTTGATTGCTTTTGAACGTTAGGAAAACAAGAATAATCCTCAGGTGCTTCCCTTGGCAAAGACCATTTTGGACTCGGTGATCGTAAAGGTCTTTTCCAACCTAAATGACTCTATGACCCCTACCAAGACACGTGTAGCTTTTCATCTAAGGGATGCAGAAATAGCGGCAGCTTGGACATCAGTCTAGGGCAAAAGCAGCTTGGCTTTCTTTTGGGTGAGCACGTAGAGCACTTGGGGCAAGCCACAAAGGACAAGGAAAGGGCTTTTATCGACCCACGCTCGAAATCTGTCCACGTGCATGGACGTGAGCAAGGTCCTGCTGCCCCAGGCTTGGGCCTTGCTTGAGCTGGGTAAAGAGTGTGTGTGGGGGGGTTTCTCGCTCGACCTCTTTCCTTGGAAAGACACTGGGATCCCTTCTTGGAGGCTTCCCCCCCACTTTTGACCCTAACATCTCCCTTGCCAGCAGGGGAGTCTTCTGGAGATGACGATGTTGAAGTTGTTTGGAGTCGTCTTTTTCTGTGGCCTCCTCTCGCCCTCTCAAGAAGTCTTGTCCGGGCTGTCCTGCGCCGTCAGCCCAGGGGCGATGCAGAACGGTAACGAGACAGCTTGAGTTACGCTTGGCGTGAAGGCCACGTGGGGCCGTGCCCTGGAGTAAAACCTCCTCAGTGTCCACATCCTTATAGCTCCTCCAGGCTGCAGACTGGGCCGAGGGCTCCAGGGTCCGCGGGTCAGGGAAACCTCTCTGCTCCAGAGCGGGGACGCGTCTCAGCCCCGCGCAGCCCCGCAGGATTTCAGGGCTGGATCCACATTATTTCCTCCTCGTGTCTTTCTCATTTCCACATTGGAGCAGCTGATATTTGACAAACAACTGCCGGGCAGTTTAGTGGTCGAGTTAACATTTGCAATGCTCCAGCAAAAAAAAAAAAAAAAAAAAAAAAAAAAAAAAAAAAGGCTCGTTTCCAGTCGCTGCTGTTTAAAACAAACAACAAAGCCCTTTGCAAATGGGAAACGAGCTGTGAGCTGGAGCGGGGGGCCTGGGACGCTCCTGAAGGGCACCTTGGGGCACCTTGGCCACCACCACCCCCGCGCTTTTTGGCTGCGGGGAGACGGCTGGGGGGGGCCCCGGGGGGTTGGGGGCGGGAGGGCTGCGGGGTGTGCTGGGACAGACCTGACCGAGTGCGGGAGGTCGCTGCTGCCGGTCCTGACGCCCCGCTCTTTTCCAGTCCTCTCGGATGCCATACTGCAGAACGGCCTTCTCCAGCAGCACCTCCAGGGCCTCGTGCTCCCGAACATCATGGGTGAAGGGGGTCTGCTGAACTCTCCCACCAGCATCACTGGGTAAGTGGGGAGCCAGGGCGCCTCCAGCGATTCTGAAGCCACAGCTGGCCACCAGCTGGCCACCAGCG